GCTAAGAGTTTTCCATTCTGCCACGGGTGCACTCAATTCTACAGCTCAACAAGTCATACCCATTTTGTCTGCTCACAGAAGTTACCACAAGGCAGTATTTTTACAGACTACCAGCTGAATAACACTAATTGCATCACGCTAACTCCATTACAACTGACCAGTTTATTTGGAAGTGGGCTTAATTTCATTTCTGCATCATTACTGAAGTTATCAGATGATCCCCGGGAAGACGTTCAATTTCTTTGCAGTAGCACACAGTTATTGGAGAGCACTTGTGGCTGCTGGTGGGCCTCTGCCTTAAACTACTGCTTTAGGTAGTTTAAAAATTAATGTGTGCCACGTGCTGCATAGGCTGAAATCACTCATTTATTTCATGTTATCCTTTGTCAAAAAAAGTCAGCAACACGAGACACCAGGGCCTCATCTGGAATGCCAAACTCTTAAACGGAATGATTGGTTTGGTTAGTGTCAGAACAGGAGTTATATGGCAACGTGATGGTAGACACACATTGTGGACAAAAGGTTTTAGCCTACAGTTATTAATAATATGCACTTCCAGAACACTGACTTTGCTTTGGGTGCTCCACTGCATGCACATAAGGTGCAATGCATTCTTTGGTTCTATGGCACTACCAGCTTTCTCCACTGTAACTTAACTACATCCAGAAAACACAGAGACTGGGGATTTGTTCTTTTACATTTATGAGAGCCAATCCCGCAGCTCACAGACGTGATTTAACTACTCTTCAGCAATCCCAAATTCCTAAGATAAAAATGGAGACCTCTCTTGTACAAGTCCATTTCTTCCCAGGGAGGAAAGGAAATAGGGAAACCTTTCAACATCTCCCCGTGTACAGGAAGGAGATTAGTTTGGCTCTCTGCTAAAGAACCTAAAACGAAGGATTATTTCAGAAGAACTCACAGCTTTGAAGATAATCAACTGTAATAACAAGATACGAGTTACAAAAAAATCCTTTTTCTTGAAAGCACTTTGGTAATAGTGCTTTTTAATAACCCTCTTAATGGCCGCATTAGAAGGACCCCAACTGAAGTCATTCATCCCACATAAAACAAACATTGCTTTTTCTTCTTAGCTGTGTTTTACAAGCTGCATTATTTCCAGATGACGCTGGAGGGGCCCAAGAGTTTTGAGAATTAATGCTTAAGCACACAGCTGCTTTCTATTTACCATGTAAATTGAGGATAAATCAAAGAGGAATCTAAATATTGGGCTTCATTTGGTCCATTACAGAGCACTGACTGAGGAGGATACGAAAAAGAAATAGAAAAATCTCATCACACAAATGCAAAGTTTACTTCTCGTTACTAAAACCAGGGAATCATAGACTCACAGAATGGCCTGGTTTGCAAAGGAGCACAGTGCTCATCCAGTTCCAACCCCCTGCTGTGTGCAGGTCACCAACCAGCAGACCAGGCTGCCCAGAGCCACATCCAGCCTGGCCTTGAATGCCTGCAGGGATGGGGCATCACAGCCTCCTTGGGCAACCTGTTCCTGACGTGTGCAGAATTCCACGGCTCCATGTAACACTGCTCTGCTCAGCAGGTAACGTTAACGAGGTTGGGAAGGAGCCAGGGAAGGAATCACTGCACAACCACACACTGCTACTGCACACACGGCTTGCTGCATCCACATTCTGCATGTTTTCCCTTTGGAAACACGCACTCATTTCTATACCCAACTAACACAGAATCAACAAATTCGGGACAGAGTTTAAAGGATGGCTCTTCAGACATTTAGAGGAATGCGTTTGTGAGCACTATGGAAAGTCCAACTGCACTGCATTGCTTCCATTGCTGACAACTTTGTGAGTTGTGGTGTTTTAGAGATAGTCCTCTATGGGAAACAAAGATATCGGCACAAAATGGGTAATTGCTAGAATTTTTCCTAATTTCTTTTAGCTTCATCCGGATGGAGTTTGGGCTCCATTGCCACAAAGCCCCGGCTCCTGTGTTGTGTTAGATGATGCTGAAACAAGTGCAGAAACCTAATTAAAACTATGGTGCCCAATACACACCAAAGCCCCAAGGGATGATGCACGTCAAGCTATTTGAAACTGAAATTGTTCCCACCACTGGCTTTTCCTCTTTTTTTTTCTTTCTTTTCTTTACACTCATGCCTTAAAAACTGAAATCGGGAGAAACCACTGATACACATACCTACGTAACTTTTCTTTATATGAAAAGAAGCAACATTCTCCCACTTTCCTTGTTAAGTTAAACTTAAATTTTGTGGACTGTGCTTTCATTGAACCTAAAAAAGCCATAAACAAAATGGAGTGGATTCTTCTTATTTCTTTTTATTGGAGACTAGTGGAGATACTTAAGGACAGGGGAAACTTGACAGAAATGTATTCCACAGCTGTAATTGTTTCTACGAAAATAAAGCTCTCGTCCTTCCTCTGACTTCTTCCTGCACATGAATTGCACTGCACACAGCTCATAGGGGCTTTCTGCCTCACAGACCATGAACTTGATCTAGCCTTACAATGAAATAATTTGTCTTTTCTTACTAAAGCCCAGGAAACCTCAGCAAGAACAATCAGCTGGGTCAGTTCCTTATTGGGGTTCACAGCAAAAATACCCACAGCTTTGCTGTATGCCAGAGGGCTATGAAGAGCTGCAGTGCCATGAGGAGCTGCAGGGCCAAGAGGTCTCCTCTCCCACAGCATACACAAGACAACCCCAAGAAATATGGCGATGGGGGATCCCACATTTTTACAACTATCACAGATCAACAGGTATTAGGTCAAAAATCTTGCATTTACATTGAATAGCTAACTATGGCAGAAACGTCACTTCTGTTCAAACTGAGAAATTAGGATTTCTTTTGCTCTATGCTTGGACAGTGCTCAAACAGAGATAGAAAAAGAGAAAATCCTTCAGCCAACATAGAATCCAGGACTCCAGTCCATGATGTTATCTCAGTGTCCAGCTCCTTCGCTCCTCATGTTCCTTACAGCATTCTTGCAGTAATATAAATGCAAACAAACAACTGTTCTTACAAACAACATGAACACAGGCTTTCAGAAGCAGAATGTCCTTCAGCAAATGACATCTTGCTGCCAATGTTATTTAGACAACTGACAGTGCCTTACACTAAGTTGCCATGTGAGCAATTTGGAAAAAAGGCATGCATGGGAGCATGCATTTTTCTCCCAAAATACAGGCAATAAACTTCTGTGATTTTATTATCCCCTAAAGCAACCTTTCCAGCTGCTGCCCTTCTCCTCCCCTGCCTCCTGCCCTACATCATAAAAAGGAGAAGGGGAGTTCTTCCTCAGCAGTGCTTCACAAAGGGAAGTTTTCAGCTGTATCCACCAGTGAGGGGATGGGCTGATGGTTGGACTTGATGATCTTAGTGGTCTTTTCCAACCTTAATGATTCTATGAGTCTATGAAGTCAGTGTTAAAGGCGTCTGCCCTATTCTCAAGGTATCTGGACAGGTCTTGGTTGACCAAAAGCTCACGGTGTCTCTGAGCTTGGTGACTGCAGACTCTTGTGTGACACTGCACAGAATGAAGTGAGCTTGGATGTGCAGCTGTTAAAGCCATCGCCTCTACCAGCACAGCCTCCCTTTGCCGGGAAGCCCACAACTTTTCAGGGCAGATCAGTGAAGTGCCACGAGACCAAAGGAGGAGTCAGAATGCGCAGCAGTGTAATTGCTTGAGCTAGAAGCTGGCAGGAAATGGAGGTTAATCACCTCTGAGCAATGCAGCCCCAGAGCCTTATCAATCCAGGCAATCAGGAACACTGAACGCATCCCAAATATGTGACTCCTCACAGCTGTGGCCCTACATCATCAAATCCTCCTCAAGTTACCCACACGCACTGGGTAAGGGCATTCCCATGTTCATGCTGTTGCAGATGGAGGAGCTTTAAGCAGAGTGGGTCACCTTACAGGACAAACAGCAGCGGCATCCCCTGCCCCAAACACAGAGCAGAGAGAGGGTCCTGCTGAGACCAAAGCTGCTGATAAACGGAGGGTCAGCTCATGGGACAGGAACCACAGCCCTGCAATCAGCAGGGCTGCAAGGAGCTCCGTGTGAATTAAGGCATCATCAGGCAGACAGAATACACTGATCTGCTCCCTGAATTACAGAATGCTTCCAGTTTTCATGGTAGTGTCGGCAACAGCAACTAGAAGACAGAGGTTAAGAAACCTGGGTAGTTAAACTCATGTTATCAAACTGGAGTTTTGAGAACTCTAGTTACTGCTGTAATTTGATTACATCAAATTACCTTTGTTGGTACTCACGTGTTAGAGCGCTATGATATGTCATGTATCAGAGAGCCATGTCCTGGAATACAAGTCAACATCCGAAATAAAAGAGCTGTTGCATTTTCAACCTCAAAAATTGGGAGCAACCGATAGAACAGGACAACTCTTTTAGACAGTATTACAGAGAAACTTCAAAGGAGTAGAAACCAAAGACACTTGGGTAGTACAAAAAAATATTATTGGGATCCTTGGAAGAACCCTCGTTCCACTGAAGGTAGAGATTTTCCAAAAGCCCATGCAATTAAATCACAGAACTGTTGCCTATTCGTGGCAGTGGCTTAGCAAACTGAAAGGAGTGCTGTATGCATACAGCGCCCAGACCATACTGATGTGGCCCATGGATGCAGTACCCATCAGGGGCTCACCGGGAATTTCCAACCATTTTCAGGCATTTTAACACACTGTAGATGCCAAAGCCTTGTTCTTAAAAATGTTTCTAACCGTATGATTTTAATACCCTTCAATATAAACGGCTTGAAACCTCCACACTGACAGGGTGTCTCCCAGCTCTCAGGAGCTGCGGTTTTGTTTTGCCATTTGTGTCTTTTTTTTTTCAGACATTACATCACTTATGCAGGTTCTTGTGCGTTGGAGTTAGTGGTTACTGAGCTGTCACACGTTTTGATAAATCTTTGCAGACTTATGGTTGTACCTCTCATATTTTGGAGCATCTACTGCAACAGTGAAGCTCGATACTTACATAGTCAGGAAGTGGAGACTCATTGGAATCCAGGGAACCTCTCAAGGACTGCGTGGCTTGTTCCAGCACTTTGTTGTGCTTTTTAGACAGCAGAGAAAATAAACTGGAGGAGAAAGAAAAAAAGAAACATTGAAATAAAGTCACAATAGTGGTCTGAAATAGACAAAGCAATCAGAAGAGGTGGTTTACTACGCGCTCTAACGTGAATGTGGAGAGTTTTTAAACACAGTGTATAATAGTTACATGTATTGTCTATATAGACACATCTGAGTTAAGCAGCAGTGGAACTCGAATTGGAGCTATTCTATAAAATAAATTATATAAAGACCATCATATGTTTACTAATACATACTGTTTTCAAATTCATCTCGGCTTAAGTCCAGGAATAAAGCATTACATAGCTTTATAAATAACCTGTGGCAAATCAGAGGTCCATACGCACACTGAGAAATAAATGTTATTTCATGCATCTTGAAAAAAACAACACTCATAGCAATGGCCTTTTTCCAAATTCTACTTGTTTGACTTCATAAGCATTCCCACGTCGTTGAGATGGACTTTCACTGTGAGACACCACAAGACAGAACTGAATACTCAGAATCAAAGGTGAGCATTCAGGACCTCATCAGGCTCTCCTAGGAGGACTCCATGTGTTCTCTGAGGATTTAAAAACTGTTCTGATGAAAATAAAAGCAACCACCAACGACATTCACTCATGCCCAAAAGTGCATTGCTCCATGGGGGTTGGTGACATTATTCTTGGGACACGGCATCAGCAGCAGACTCTGTGCTCACCAGATTCAGTTAGAAAGGATTCAAGTCAGTATGATAAATAAAGTGGCTAATTACTGCCCCACTGTTATACTCTTGACAGCCACTGCCTCTTTGAACAGGAGGACAACTTCAGTGCTCTCAGAAAGCTTTTCTGCCTAAAGAAATGATGGTAAGGATTTGAGGAAGCCCTCTGTTTTCAACTTCAAATATAACACTGATGTCAAAACCCTTGCAGCTTTAGGCAGGAGATACTGATAGCAGATCTCAGTGCTTGTTCTCCCTCCTTCCAGCCAAGAGTTAGAGGAGAAAGCTTTTCCAGCACTTCTCAGAGGAAATACCTTGCTTCTGAAGCCCAGATCTTCTACCTTGAGAGGCAACTCAATAAATTCCACCATTTCTTGACGCCTTTTCAGTCAGACACTTCTTAGAGCAGAATAATAGCCTGCAGCACTTAAGACATCTCACTAACCCCCATAGGAGCCCTTTGGGGTGTCACACCATCCCCAAGTTCAGCCAACGTCTCCTAGGGCCAGGAACAGCTGACACCAGGACCAGTGACGTTGGTGGTAAACCCTGCTGGGATGGTGATAAGCTCAGCTGGACTGATAGGGAAGGAATGCCCCGTGACATTACAGAACAACTGTGTAAGGGCTGAGAAACATTTGGTGTTGTTAGGATAACGTGATGTACTTGACCTCATGAACGCTGGAATCGTAGTTTTTCCTTCATGCTGTCTAAGAAAGCCCTCACCAGAGGAATAAATCAAATGATGGAAATCTAGAATGATGGATTCCTGGAATCACAGAATCCTAGAATGGTTGTGTTGGAATACCTGGGACAAAAGTCAGCCCTCCACTAATTCACAACTATTAGCCAAAATCACCAGCTACAAATGAAACAGGGAAGAAGCAATGCAGAAGTAACTCAATAACAGGATTTCCATCTTCTACCCTCCTGCACCCAACTATTGCATTCACAGACTGAAATGCTTGCTCTAATCAAAATCTGGATTTGCAGACCGGTCCCTCCGCTGCACAGCAGTGCTGCTTTTAGGTAGGCTCAGATTTCAGAGATGCTACCATCAGCACCATCTAGTGCTGTGGAGATGGAACAATCAGTTAAAGCCAACCTGGTGATGCTCACTGGGGATGCAGCAAGGTTAAACCTGGGGTCTGTCTGCTCCAGAAGTTTATTCCTCAAAAAAGACGATGACAGAATGGTATGAAATAGGATGTCCAGCAAGCAGCATTTTTCACCAAAACGAATAAAGCGTTTTGGCTTTGCGTGCAATGTAGATATAAAACAAAACACTGGCATCAGATTTTGAATATTCAGTCAATCTGACGAGAAGAATGCACACACATCAGTAGTCTGCATTGAACTGGAACAACAAAGAGCAAATTCATCTTCTCTGGCAGAATGAAGAAAAATGGGAAAGGAGAAAGAAACAAAGAACAGTTCTTTATATCTTATTTTTGCTTCTTTTTTTTTTTTTTTTTAATTAAGTGCAATGTCAGTAAACCCTGAGTGGCTGGGCTCTATGTCTGAGCAGTGAGGGGGTGAGCTCTGCTATACATTGTCTTTGCTCTGGGGCTTCCCCTTGCCAAGTTTTGCTTTCTTGCCACAGCTCATTGACTTTGCAGCTGTGCTGAAGCACTTCTTTGTGGGAACGTCGCCCAGAATGCCAATATTGGGGTTAAAATAGCCAGTCTTCTTCCTCACCAATGGCTCATCCTTTGGAGAGAGCAGTTCCTTGGAGGAGTCACCCCAACATGTTTTTCAAGTATCAGCACAGCATTACTTAGAGCCACCAGAAGTCATTTCACAAAGTTTAACTCATGGAGGTCTTTGATCATGGGCAAACATTGCCTTCTAAAGGCACTTGGTTTGTGACGGTCACATCCTCAGCGTATGGAAGGCTTAGGGGTTATTTTTGATTATTCAGGCATGAAAAATGGAATTAAAAAATGGAAAAAATGCTTTACGTAAGATCAAAGTTGTTCTCCTCCCCATTATTGGGTAAGAGGGAAACCAGTGGCAATTCATGCACAGGTGGGCATTAAGAACGTCTCCAAAGCTGGTATAGATCCCAGATCAGCAAATCACATTGTGGGGAAGCTGAGCCAACAAGGATGACTTTGAGCTGAAGGAAAACCTCAACACAGAGTCACAGAATCATTCAGGTTGGGAACGGCTTACGAGGTCCCCAACCCTGACTCACCCCACCATGCCCACTGACCGTGTCCCCAAGTGCCACATCCCCATGGTTCTTGAACGTCTCGTTCTTCTGATCTTGGGAATTATGAAATCACTGATTTCTGAACTCCTTCTATAAAGATGAAACATTTCTAGTTAATTTAATACAAGGCCGAACCTCACCCACTAAGTGATTACAGACTTAATAGTAACGGCTGCTTAAATGCAAGTGATTTGATTATGTGCTATTTGCACACATAATAAAATTCAAACCAGTAATATATGAACTTAACACTTTCAAAAAGTCAGTTCCAAGCAGCCTGTGGATTCAAAAAATGCAAATAATGGGAACTCACTGAACAGCTTTCCTCTTGGTCCAGCAAAGCCACAAGCCAACAATCAATAAAAAATCCTAAGCATCTGCAATTTCTGCAGCAAATCTAATTTACAGCAGATTGAAGTGGCTTACAAACTCTGTTTCTCACGTATATAAAAAAAATTGCATGAATGTATAAAATGAAGCTTTTAAAACAGTTAATAAAAGATAAGGGAATTAAACTTTAAGGTTCAAGGTAAATCTGAAGACAGTATTTGCCAGAAATTGGCTCAAGGAGGGAAAAAAACAAAGACAAAAACGATGACTAAGTTTAAATATCATGATATTTTAATGCATATAAAGAACAACATAAACAGACTATTATTACTGGGTTAGCAGTTGAAAACAACAGATCTCTAAAGAACAATGCCAAAAAAAAGGGCATATGTCCCTTAATCGCTTCCATTACACAAAGAACAAAAGGTCATATGCATTCAGAAATGGCAAGCAAGTTATTTGCAGCAAAACAGTGACAGAACAGCTCATAAAGCCAGACAATTAAGCAGACGGTCCTGTTAACTCCAAAATACAGGAGTAAAGCAAAATGTGCTGTAGATCTCCTTGTGGCCTCCCACTAATTATAGTTTTAAACAGGAGGGAGAGCCACTTCTTTACTTGGTTTGATAGTACAGGACAAGGATGAATGGCTTTAAACTAAAAGAGGGGAGATGTGCAGCTCCCACAGCGGGGTGATGGAAACAGGGGATCTCTGAGGTCCTCTGCACCCAAGGTTAGTCTGTGATTCTGTGCCCCAACACAACTACATGCCAGTGCATAATAATGGAACAGCAGTCATGAGATTCATTCTAAACCGGCCTTGCCAAGCTCATTCAGCAACGAGACCAGAAATAAAACGCAGCGAGACAATGCCGTTATTGAAGCAGGTTTCTACTTGTCACTTTCATGACTTTGTTCCACATGGGATTTTTCATTAAGAAACCAGATTGACAAAAAGCAATACGGCATGTTTTAAACAAAGGGGAAATCAGACACCTGAATACTCTGAAAAATCCCCAAGTTTCCATCTTTAAATAAGTTTTCCCAGTTGGGTTACATTCTTGGCCCCTCTACCTGCCAGCAGCCACTGAAGGTTTGCCAGTGTTGCTGAAATACAGTGAGATAGAGATGATATCATTGGTACACATCAATGATAAAGAAATACTAAGGCTGAACTTTGTAAATTCATTGTAGGAACTTCAGGTAAAGGGAAAAGAACATTGGGGTTTTGTTTTGGTTTGTTTTTTGTTTTTTAATTTTTATTTCTTGTCTTTCAATCACAGAATCATTGAGGTTGGAAAAGTTCACTGAGATCATCAAGTCTAACGATTAAGCCAGCACCAGAGGAATTACAGACCAGGAGGAGGAATTAATTGCACGAAGTTCCTTTGGTCTGTGGTACGATGGAGGTCAGACAGTATGAGCCAAGTGGTCTCTTTTGGATCAGAGAACACATGCATTTAGGTAATGCCCTACACATTGCTGCATTAGAAGAGATGGAAAGAATCTGATCTGATGAAAAATCGGGTCAGGCACCAGCAGGTGCTCAGAGAGGTGGTGGAATCCCCATCACTGGAGATGTTCAAGGGCCATGGAGATGTGGCACGTGGGGACGTGGCCAGTGGGCACGGTGGGGGAGAGCTGGGGATTTGGGAGGTTTTTTCCAACCTTTATGAGTGTAAAGTCCTACAAAACCCTTTTGGGAAAAATTTCAAACCAGTGACATGTGCTTGGCATACGGATCTGTGGCAGAGATGACC